CACTGCATCAGAAAGTGAATATTGCCTTTAATTTAGGAATCCTTGTACTAATTACTTCCTATTTTGTATAACTTCTCATACAAAACCCACACATAAGCTATTTGTTCTGGGAGTAAAAACGAGGTTGCAGTTTTCTGATCAGGATAAACCAAGAAAAAATTTGTAATGGAAACTTGGTTGCAACCTTTACCACGGAAAACCAGTTCTGGTTTGCAGTGAAGATCGAAAACAGGAAGACCAACTAAAAAATCCAAGAGAAAGAAAAGTACTAAAACAGACTATGGCAGCAAAGGGAAAATAACAGATTTAACAGATGACATGGGCCCTTGGTATCTAGAACGTCCTGCCTGTTAGTATTTGAACTACACTGGCAGAGTTGAGCTCAGCACATCAAGCCCAGAACACAGTTAAGAATGCTGCAAACATATGGATTAGGCATCAGAGTGTCCAGAGTCTGCACTCAGATCCTTCTCCAGCAAAGGCTGAGGTTCAAGTCACAAACTGATCTATGACTCACAGGCAGTGAATCAAATGTCCTGCAAGCACAGGCTGAGATCTGCAACAACACTGTCACCATCTAACACGGAGGATGTGGGGCAGGTGAGAATGAGCAGAGCTCTCCTTTGCTTTCAAGATACCTGGCAGTTTCAGCCATTTGGGTACTTTCCCAGGTGCCCTTCTCGACGCTAGCACAGCTCCCTGTGCCCTGGCTGCTTCCAGTGGCTCACTGATCTTCTTGTCACTTCCCACTTCTGGCTCAGATAGGGATGGAGCTGCTGAGGCTACAGATGATGAACCAGAAGGAACTAATGACCTAGACAAACATCTGAGGAAGAAAATAAGCAAGTAGAATTAAGCTTCATTTTTCAAAACAGCCCCTTGTACCACTACCACCACCTTTAAACTTCTAAAGTCAGATTGAAAAGGCTCTTCTTTTTTCACAATACAAGTCAGTAAAATCCTACTTTGCAAAGAAGGGCTCACAAAGCTGTGAAGTCAAGTATGACAGTACTGTTTCTGGAGAGAAGGAAGTCCTAGTATCTTCAAAGCACATTTCTTTGTAGTAAGCTGGACTCGTTTCATGCCTCCCATCCCTGAAATACTCAGGCATTTGCAACTCTTCAGTCCCAACATACCTGGCTACTAATAAATCAGCTGCAGAAGGGGAAACTGCAGAGCTCAGCAGGTCAGGTTTCAGGTAACAAGCTGTTCAAAAACAAAACCAAATCACTTGCTTGGTAACAGAGACATCAATCACCACAGTGTCACGTAGCTCTCAGCTCAACAAATATCTGCTGTATACTACAGTAAATCTCCATCACCTTCCCTCCAACAGGAATTTTTTGCTACAGAGTAATTCTTCTATCATCCTTGCTCCCAATGCCTACTCCCCAGCCTACCAAATCACATAAACAAGGTATTATGTCAACCTTTTTGCTCAAGCTAAGCGACCAAGCTAGCTCTGAAGAGCTTCAGCCAGTCGGAATGGGGACATTCACCAGCATTCTCAAGAGCTTAGTATCTTTTGTCAGAAGGACTATGACAGTAAGGATGTACTTCTGGATCTACTACAGGAGCTATAGAGTCAGCTGAAGGAGAGAGAAGACGCACTCACCCCTGCACTCATCAGATCCAAAATGAATGACAGCAGTTGGAAAGAGCTTAGCCTGCAGCAAAAGGGGAAAAGAAGGTATCACTGACTGTAGATGCTTTCACAGTTCACTGAACATTAGAGACAGGTTAGACAGCTACAGACAAATTCATGGAGTTCAAGCCAAGGTCACTGAACCATCTATAATTCAGAAAAGGTTACACTTGTGCAGAGCACAGAGCACTCAGAGTAAGACATGAAACAAAATGTTATGGTCTCATACACACAGGTGATGAGACCTGTACAGCAAGTGCTCACTGCAGAGATGCCCTGCCATTCCTTCCCCTCTGCCCCCATATCTCAGCCCACTGTATTGCACCCACATTCTCCACAGCTGAGCAGGTAGCATGAATATGATGAAGAATCTTCTAAGGCCTAAGTAGCTGATAGCAAGAGAAGAAAAATCCAGCTATGCCCTCCAAAATCTATTTTAGATCTTTCAATTACATTTCCACCCTGTCTGCAGTTGAAATTTGTTGAGTTTCACAAGCTTTCCAGGATGCAGTCTATCCTTTTATAAACCCAGCCTGAATTCCTTCTCCTGCTTGTCAGAATAACTGTCATATTCGAACATTTTTTCCATCCAGTGGGTTTGGTTGTTTTGGGTTTTTTGACTTTTACTTCAAAGGAAGTTCCTGTAATTCCTCTCCATTTCCTCCTCTCCTTTTACTGGGCACTGCTGAGAAGTCTGACTTACCTCCCTTGCTGTTTCCCATCTCTTACTGCACACACTGACAAGACCTGCCAGCGCTGCCTATTTCCAGGCAGAACAACCCCCTCTGCCTCTCCCCACGTGTCAAATCCATCAGTTCCTTCGTTATCTTTTGGTCCTTTGCTGGGCACCAGAGTAACTGTAAAACTGGACTCAGAGTGGCCCTGGTTCAATCAAGGAATCACAAGCACATGTGTAGGTAAAGGAGAGACCCACTTACAGAGTTTACTCTGCCACTTACAGTGACCACAGTGTCACACCACACAAAAACACAGTGCTGGAACTGCTCCATTACAAAGCACTACACCACCACATCCCCATGGTGCATCCAAGTGTTCCCAAGGGAAACTCAGAGCAAGAGAGTCAAAATTATTAAGTTTCATGCTAAAAACAGACACTGCCACAAGCACAGGCTTGGGTTTTTAAAAGGGTTTGAAGGTGATTTGCAGAAGATTAATATGATATGGTATAACCAGCTGTACTAGAAAGGATGCTGACAGGAAAATAGTGTATTTATTACCTGCATTACACAACAGTATAATACCACATAAAGAAAAACTAGCTGAAACAATTCTGTTAAGCTTTCAGGAGGCCTCATCCTAAGAGATAGGTAAAGAAACCAAATCATCATAGTGTAAAAGAGGCAAGAACCTTTATAGCCCCAAACTGTATGGAAAATGTTGATTGATGGTCTACATTTTTCCCCTTGATCCAATCAATAAATAACCAGATAAAGACAAGCCACTGCCCCACTTGGAATCACTTGTGTACTTGGGAACTGTGCAGGGCAGACTGTCTGCTCTGGAGATTTCTTGAGCCTCTGTTGCCACCATCAGCCCAGTCTGGATACTGGAATGACTGTCCTTGGACCTGATCCAGCATAGCAATTACCAGAACTCAACAGAACCCTGATCTTCACAGAGGAGGCTGTGGACTGCTGCCTAATACAGAGACTAATAAAACTGTATTAGTGGAAGGCAAAATGAAACAGCTTCACCTGCCTACAAGCTTCAGATGAGAATGTGTTGACATCAGTCCAAAGGCTGGAGGAGACTGTCTCCTCCAGCACAGTCGACGTCGCACTAGGCTGAAGCAGGACACGCTCACCACTCTACTCCAAATCTCAGCTCCTGCTAAAGCAGCCAGGCAACTTCATATCCTTGAACTGACATCTTAGCAAAAATAATTATTTATTGGGTCTTTTAGCATTTCATTCCTCAATCCACAGGGCCTAAGGACTGCCTGCTCCAGTCACAAAGCCGGCTCTCCATAAACTTTTTTAATTAAAAAGTACCAGACATGGTTAGAAACCCTAGAGAAAACTCTCACAAGAGCTTTGATGTTTCCGCTGCATTCATCTATTTAGGAAATGGGTGCCTTAAAAAGGGCCCCCCCAACACACATACACTCAAGCCCTTTTACACACAACATCCTTTTCATGCCAGCTGCAAGTTGGAAAATGAGGTTTTTGTAGTGTGTTAGTGTTGGAATTTTTTAATAACCTCCCCTCTCTTTTTTTCGCCTCCCGACCAATTATCTTGGTAAATAATTAACATTCTGAAGGAGATAAGTAAGCACAGCATCTCGGAGCTCAAAGCCCTTTAGTTCAAAGCCCTGCCCTTTTCTCTTCGTTTCCCTGCTGCCGCCACCGAAACTTCCTTGTCAATCAAGCTCTGGGCACACACATCAAAGCCTCATGTGGGAATGGCCCCAAGGGGTCAGAGAAAATTCATGGCAGGGCCTGTGTGAGGCACAAAGAGAAAAAGAGAGTGAGAAATACAGGCCAAGAGCTAGACAGACACACTCAACCAACAAACACACAGACAGACTGTGCCCCAATATAAACCTCTACCCTATTTACTCACAGGTTGTCAAATAACCATAGCTCTCAGTTTCAGGATCCACGTCCACAACCATTTCCCATTGCTGGCAAAACATCAGTCCAAATGTTTCGGTTCAAAATCTTAATTGAAAGAAACCTAAAGGAGCTAGACAGCAGCTCACAAGTACAGAGTGCAACCTCCTTCCCATGGCTCCTTTCCCTGCATCCCTATCCTTCCCTAGGGGTCAGCCAGCATCAAGTCCCCTCTTGCCAAACTCCCATCCAATAAGTTATTTTTCTTCAATTCAAAGAGACTATTGGCTCACACACAGAACTCTTGGTCTAGCTCCCTTCATGCAGAATTCTCAGGTACCACCCCAGCCCAGCACTCCTGGAAGGTTCAGAAGGCAGGCAATTACCTGCACCTCACTTCTCACCCCAGGAATTCTCTAGCTAGTCACTGGCAGGACACAATGCTGTCCCAGAGTTTTTATAAGACAAAAGTATTTAAATCAGCAGCAATTTCACATTGGAAAAAAAAAAAAAAAGGCAGGCCAATGGAATGATCCCACTGTCCAAGGAATGTCTTGGCATAAAGATGAGAGACTTTAGTAGATGCCGTCCAGGAAAACATACAAGCCCAAAGTCAAAGCCTTTAGCATTCCCTGACACAGCTAAGAATGTAAGAATCATAGAATTTAGGGGTTGGAATGGACCTGACAGATCATCTAGTTCCAACCCCCTGCCCCGGGCAGGGGACACCTCCTCACTTGATCAGGCTGGTCAAGGCTCATCCAGCCTGGCCTTGAACACCACCAGGGTTGGGGCAGCCACAGCCTCCCTGGGCAACCTGTGCCCGTGTCTCACCAGACCAGATCAAACATGAGGCAGACCATTACCTGGAAGCTGTATTCCCAAGTCAGCTGGTAGCTCCACATCTGCAGTTGTTCTAACGCCTGTGCCAGAGTTTTCTAGAAGTACAACTCTGCACTTCCTAACCTCACGGCACAGGGCTCTAATAAGAATATCTGTGATTCAGAACAGATTGTGATAACTCTTGGTCAATCTGAGCCTGTCAGATTGCCCAAAAGAATCAAAGGCTGTTTGAAACAAATAGCCAAAAAGCTCCATTCAGTTATGTGCAGAGAATGACTACAACAGGACTAAGCCCAGAGCGAGGTACCGCAAGCACCCAGCGTTTCTCTTCCTTTGGGCACTGTCCCACTTCTGTCCTGTTGTGCAACCACAGAGATGCCATGTAGAGCAACATGCCATATAAATAAAAATGCTGTATGTTTGTGGATTGTTTTTATTTTTTGTGGGTTTAGGTTTTGGGGGTTTGTTGGGGTTTTTTTGTACAGATGCAAAACTGAGAGCGAAAGAGATTGAATAACTTCTTCAAGGTCACGCAGGATGGCAGCAGCAGAAATGAGAACTAAGTATGCAAGTCCCCAGAGACCCATCCAGGGCTGTAATCACAGGACAGCTTTCGTCTGAAAGGATTAGAAAGTCACTGAGGCAAGAAGAGGAGGAAGCCAATGTCCTGCCTACTGCCTTCCCCATTTAAGAAGTATCATTCCAAATGACCAACTCCTCAGATTTTAAAGAGATCTAACACAGCTTCATCCATTTGCTTAGTTACAGTTGCAGAAGTTTAAATGAATGCTTTCCATTTCAGAGATCTGAAGACCAGCCTGTTACTCATAAAGCCACATTTAGTCTGAAACTATGCGGCTGAGTAACTCCAGTTTGACTCGGAGAGGCAGCAAGAAGCGACTGGGACGCTGCGGTGGAGAGCGCGGTTTGTGACAGCACGGCACCCTGGCTGCAGAGTGGCACACTGGGGCTGCTGCATCTTGCATTCCACGATAAAAATATCCACACTACAACAACATTCCCTGGTGAATCCAGCTGCGATACAGCAGAGAAATGTTTCTGCTTTGGTTTACTGCATGTTTTAAGTAACTTGTCTCTAGAGCACAGAGAATATTTCAGCCAGAACCCTCCCAAATAACACCTCAATACTTCCTTCCTAAGAGATACACAATCAAAACCCCCCAGAACAGAGCACTGCAGATGATGTACATTACTGCTGGGCAGTTGTTCTGTTCCCTGACAGAGTGATGCTGTCAGACCAGGCAGGGGCTGCTGTCGAAGGGAACTTGCAGCTGCCAGAGGGAGCAGCATTCTTTCCGTTACACGATCCGAGAGGATCAGAGTGCCACAGGTCTGCTGTTAGTTTGATGTTAGGAGATGAATAAGAAAATAAGCACTTCAAAGGAACACGAGCATGGAAGGAGAAACCCAAGCTACCAACATGAAATACTGCATAGTACACACACCCCAAACACATAAACTAGCTCTTGGAAAATTCAACCGGAAAGCCGGTGGATCAAAAGGTTCTCCAGCAAGACTGCAAAGCATTGCTGAAACAGAAATAAACACCACAGTCCTGGTGAAAGGGGCAGACCGAGCGGCTCGT